CTGGCTGGGGAATTCTGGGAGTTGGAGTCCATGCATCTTTGGCTGGGGAATTTTGGGAGTTGGTCCAGCTATCGTAAGACATGCTGGCTGGGGAATTCTGGGAGTTGAAGTCCACAAGTCTTTAAAGTTGCCAAGTTTGGGGATCCCTGTTTTAATTATTCCCTCCCCCCTTATCACATCCCCCCACCCCCACAATGAGGTGCAAGAGATGCCCTTGGATGGTAGAAAGATTGAGCCTTCTCTGTATTCCTTCTAAGAGCCATTTGGGGATGTCCTTGCCCAAAGCCAAGCCTCGTTGACCTTAAAAGGTCAGCCTAGGCTGATTGACCTTTGATTTCCCCCCAAAATACAGCTAGTCCTCGACTTATGACCACGAGGGAGCCCCAACATTTCTGTGGTTAAAGTGAGACATTCGTTCGGAGAGGTTTGCCCCCTTTCTCGTCCCCCCTCCCGGTCGTTAAGCGAATCACTCCCGTTAAATTAGCCACACGGGAATCCGTGAATGCCCCGATGATGTTGCTTGTCGGAAGGTCATGAAAGGGGAACCACAGTGACGGTCGTAAGTGCAAACCAATTGCTGAGCATCAGAATTTTGCTTCCCGTGACTGTGGGGATGCAGCAACGGTCGTAAGTGTGGAAAATGGTCGTCGGTCCTTTTTTTCCAGCACCCTAGTAACATTGAACAGTCCCTAAGTGAGTGGTTGTAAGTTGAGTACCTGCAGCAGCCCGGACAAGCGATGATAAGGATGTGATAAGGATGTTACGGATGTGACACCACCACCCCCCGTCCCCCACCAGCAAACTTCAAACTCAGAGGAAAGCCTTGCTCAAAACGACTTGGCTCCAGAAGTGGTAAAATGCTTCCAACACTGGAAGGTTTTTAAGAGAGATTGGATAACCATCTGTCTGAAATAGAATAGAGTAGAATAATGTAGAATGGAATGGAATGGAATAGAATAATGTAGAATAGAGAATAGAACAGAATAACATAGAGTAGAATAGAATAGAAGAATAGAGAATAGAATAGAGTAGAATAGAGTAGAATAGAATAGAATAGAATAGAATAGAATAGAATAGAATAGAATAATGTAGAATAGAATAGAATAGAATAGAATAATATAGAATAGAATAGAATAGAATAGAATAGAATAGAATAGAATAGAAAATAGAATAGGAAAGAATAGAATATAAAATAGAATAGGAAAGAATAGAATAGAAAATAGAATAGAATTGGAGTAGAATAGAATAGAATAATAGAGAATAGAGTAGAATAGAATAGAATGGAACGGAACGGAACGGAACGGAACAGAACAGAATAATGTAGAATCAAATAGAATAATAGAATAGAATAGAATAATGTAGAATAGAATAGAAGATATAATAGGAAAGAATAGAATAGAAAATAGAATAGGAGTAGAATAGAATAGAATATAGTGTAGAGTAGAGTAGAGTAGAGTAGAGTAGAGTAGAATAGAATAGAATAACGAGCTGGAAGGGACCTTGTAGGTCATCTAGTCCAACCCCCTGCTC